GTAAGGTGAGCGTGGCTGTAGTCGTGGTCGTGGTGGCCGTGGTGGCCGTGACCAATGGAGGGAACGAACGACCGAACCGATTGAGACGAAATCGATGTGTTCAATGGTTGCCATTCCTGCTTGGGAATTCGTCGAAGGGCTGATAGTGGTGCATCCACTGCTTGTCACTCTGCCTTTGTAGACATAAGCCAAACACCAGAGTATGCCTCATATAGCCATGTGCAACATGGTCATAATGGATAATGTGATCGCATGTGGTCGCGGTTGCAAAGGTGAGGCCGAGAGCGGAGCCGCAGCTGAAAAAACAATCAAAATTTTGCACTGCGCGCCAAAGACGACAGGCGGCGCGGGCGGGCAGAGCGGCAGCCCTGTATCGACAGCCCAAGGCACACCTCTCACATTCCCCTCACGGTCCACCCACCCACAGCGAGGACAAGCGAGTGTAGCATGCAGCGTGCACCCCTGGGTGCGCTGAACGGGACGGAGCGCGAGCCCGGACGGGTCATCCGCAGGTCCGGCCGGCTCAACAGGAAGGCAAGGGAGGCGGCCATTCCGGCGACGCCGGTGCCTGCGGCCGACGCTGCAGGTAAGGGTGACGCACAGACGACGCCCGGCTCGGGCCGTCGCATGATGCTGGCCACCAGCAAGACGCCGGCAAAGACTCCGCTGGCCAAGGCCGCCGACGCGGTTCGCAGGCAGCGGTCCCGCTCGGCAAAGCGGGCGGCGTCGCGCGGGCCGAGCGAGAACCGGCACGACGGCGAGTCGCCCATCCGCGTCCTCTCACTCTCACCCGAGAGCGAGGGCTCACGTGCCGGCGGCATCTCGCTCTCGCGGAAGACCCGCGGCGGCATGGGCCTCGGCTCAGCGCTCGGCGTTGGCGGTGGATGCGGCCGGTGCGAGCGCCAGAAGGCTGTCATCACGCAGCTCAAGGAGATCCGTGCAGACCGCGACAAGGAGATCGAGGCTCTCAAGATCGCGCTTATCAACGAGCAAGAGGACGGCAAGCAGTACCAGTCCGAGTGGCGCCGCATCCAGGAGGAGGGTGCTCTGCTGTTCCAGACATACACCTCCAAGTGCAACAGGCTCAAGGACCTCGTCGAGCGCCACGACCAGCTCAAGACAGAGCTCGCCGAGAAGGAGGAGGAGATTGCAGAGCTGACCTCGACCAACGCCGAGTTGGATGCCACTGCAGAGTTGTACCAGGAGCAGGCCAACGAGGCCGCCACTCAGTTTGCCACCGTCTTCGAGTCGTACAAGAAGCTCACCGCCGAGCACACCAAGCTTGTGACCGAGATGGCCGAGCTAAAGGAGGCTCAAGCATCCGAGAAGTCGGCGCTCGATGAGCTAGAGACCATGCGCGCCCAGTACGCCGCAGTCATGGAGCAGCATGATGAGCTGGTTCTCCAGCTCAAGATGGCTACCTCGGCTATTGAGCACCAGCACCGGGTCTCTGCCGACGATGACATGGCCGACACTGGTTCCTCGTCGCTCGCCTCGCACCCAATTTTCGAGCTCACCTACGAGCAGGAGGCCGTTGTCGAGGCTGCGCTTCTCGCCTATTCGGCTCGGAAGGACGAGGCGGGCTTTGACGACGATGTCGATGTCGAGGCCTACGCCGCACTCGAGCGCCGTGTTGTCGAGCTCGAGTCAGCACATTTGGCACAGGTCCGCGAGATCGATGCCCTTGAGGCTGAGCTCTCCACCACTCGCGATGCCGTCGATGTTGATCGTGCTGCGCTCGCCGAGGCTGCGGAGCGCGAGACCGAGCTACTCACAAAGCTGGAGGCGCTCGAAGCTGCTGTTGCTGCGGACGAGACGCATATGAAGCTGGACGCGGCTGAGGCTAAGCTTGCGGAACTCAACGGTGAGACCGAGCGGTTTGCTGCCATACGCGCCGAGCTCGAGTTCAAGATTGGCGAGCAGAGCAGCGAGATGGCCGCCCTTGAGGCGTCCCAAGCCGATCTCCTGGCCCAGATTGAGGCCGCTGACGCTCTCGAGACTGAGCTCGCCAACGCAACTGCTCGTCTCGCGGAAGTCGAGGCTGAGGCTGAGAAGGCAGCGGTCGAAGCCAAGCTCCAGATCGAGGCCGCCGCAGCTCGCGAGACTGAGCTCCGCCAGCAGCTCGAGGCCGCCAACGCCGGCGCGACCGAGGCCGAGCAGCTGGCTGCTGCCCGCTCAACGCTGGAGGCCAAGGTCACAGAGCAGAGCAGCGAGATTGCTGCGCTCGAGGCGACACAGACTGAGCTCATGGCCCAGATCGAGGCCGCCGCAGCTCGCGAGACTGAGCTCCGCCAACAGCTCGAGGCCGCCAACGCCGGCGCGACCGAGGCCGAGCAGCTGGCTGCTGCCCGCTCAACGCTGGAGGCCAAGGTCACAGAGCAGAGCAGCGAGATTGCTGCGCTCGAGGCGACACAGGCTGAGCTCATGGCCCAGATCGAGGCCGCTGACGCTCTCGAGACCGAGCTCGCCAACGCAACTGCCCGTCTCGCGGAAGTCGAGGCCGAGGCTGAGAAGGCAGCGGTCGAGGCCAAGCTCCAGATCCAGGCCGCCGCAGCTCGCGAGACTGAGCTCCGCCAACAGCTCGAGGCCGCCAACGCCGGCGCAACCGAGGCCGAGCAGCTGGCTGCTGTCCGCTCAACGCTGGAGGCCAAGGTCACAGAGCAGAGCAGCGAGATTGCTGCGCTCGAGGCGACACAGGCTGAGCTCATGGCCCAGATCGAGGCCGCTGACGCTCTCGAGACTGAGCTCGCCAACGCAACTGCTCATCTCGCGGAAGTCGAGGCCGAGGCTGAGAAGGCAGCGGTCGAAGCCAAGCTCCAGATCGAGGCCGCCGCAGCTCGCGAGACTGAGCTCCGCCAACAGCTCGAGGCCGCCAACGCCGGTGCGACCGAGGCCGAGCAGCTGACCGCTGTCCGCTCATCGCTTGAGGCCAAATTGGCGGAGCAAGCTGACGCATTTGATGCCACCAAGCGAGAGCTGGAGTGTCTCCACAACGAGTACTCCGAGTTCCGCCTCGAGCACGAGTTTGACGCCGAGAGCCTGCGCACCGAGGTTGCTGCAGCCGGAGAGCAGATTTCTGAGCTGCAGAGCCAAATCACAGCGCTAGCTGAACAGGTTGCCGCCAAGGATGCTCGCATCGCGCAGCAGCAGACCGAAATCGACTCGGCCATTGGCGACGTGACCGAACTTATGGCCCAGACTGAAGCTGTTGACGCTCTCGAGTCAGAGCTTGCCAACACGTCGGCTCGCCTTGCCGAGGTTGAGGCCGAGGCCGAGAAGGCTGCGATCGAGGCCAAGCTCAAGATTGAGCAGCTGCAGCTAGCGGCAGCATCGGCTGATGTTGTGAGCAACCTGCAGACTCAGTTGGACTCGGTGACTGCCGAGTACTCAGAGTTCCGCCTCCACAACTCGTTCGAGTTCCAGGAGCTCCGCGCCGAGCTGACGGCCAAGACCGAGGAAGCCAACTTGATCCAGGCCGAGCTTGATGCGACACTGAACCGGTGCAGCGAGGCAGAGGCTAGTCTCGAAAAGTCGCTTCAGGACCAGGCGGCGACGGTGGCCTCCCTCGAGTCTGAGCTCGAGCTGGCCACATCCGAGCAGGCAGCGTCGCTGGCATCGCTCGAGGCAGAGCTTGCTGAGGCGCGCGCGCAGAACGCTACGCTGCATACCGAAATGAGCGAGTGTGCTCAGCGCGAGGTGGCGGCAACGTCGTCGCTCGCCGAGGCAAAGACTGCGCTGAACCAGGCGCGCGCCGATGCCGAAGCCCTCGAGGCGCAGCTCGGCCAAGCGCGTGAGGCACTGGCTGCTGCTGCCTCGCATGCCGAGGCTCACGCTGCCGAGCTTGACGCGGCCCGCGCGGAGGCTGCTGCCGCTGCCGCTGACGCCGAAACGCTGGCGACACTGGAGGAGCAGCTTGTGGAGGCCATGCGTGCTCGTGACGAGGCAATCGAGGCAGTTGCTGCCGCTGCTGACGCGCACGACAACACTGTTCGCGAGCTTGAGCAGGAGCTGCTTGCCGCGCATGCCGAGGCCGAGGCTGCTGCCGAGGAAGTGACTGAGGTCAAGGCGCAGTTGGTCGAGGCCAACACGTCAATTGAGGAGCTGATGACTCAGATCGAGGAGCTCGACGGGGTTGAAACTCAGCTGGAGAACGCCAAGGCACACGTGGCCGAGCTCACTGCCATGGCCGACCAGGCCCGAGTCGAGGCCAAGCTCGAGCTGCAGTCAGCACGCCGCGAGGCCGGTGTCGCCGAAGCCCGAGTTGAGGAGCTCAACGAGCAAATCCAGACCATGGGCATGGCCGCCATGGAGGATGCCGAGCTTCTGTCCGAGCTCGAGGAGAAGGTCACGCAGCTGCAGGCAGAAAACGCGCGCTTGGCCGCCTCGGCCCCTCTCGCCGACGAGTACAAGGCGCGGTACGCTGAGGTGGCGGCAAAGCTCGATGTGGCGACGGCAGCACTCGACGACCTCACAGCCGCTGCCGACGAGCTCGACGCCGCCGATGCGCTTTGTGCCTCGCTGGCCCAAGTCCTCACCGACAAGCTCGCCGCGGTCGATGCTGAGCGCTCCGAGCTCGCGGCACGAACTGCCGAGATTAACCTCAAGCTCGCGGTGAACAACGAGGCACTGGACGAGATGCGCGCCGAGGTCCGCGCTGCCAAGGCCACCGCGGCCGACGGTGAAGCTGCTCTCCGCAAGGTTGCCGGCCTGAGTGCCCGACTCAAGGAGGCGACAGCCAAGGCCGAGTCTGCGTCGGCTGCGGCAGCTAAGCACAGCGCCAAGGCACGCGAGCTTGCCGCAAAGGTGGCTGAGCTCGAGGCAACGCTCAAGACCGAGACCGCCCATGCGTCAGCGGCCGTGACTGAGGCCCAGACCGAGGCCAAGGCCGCGCGTGCCGCTGCCGGCAAGGCTCAGACGGTGGTGGCCGAGCTGGAGACTCAGCTGGCCGAGGCCCAGGCCGTGGCTGCACAGCTGCCAGTCAAGGACGCGCAGCTGGCCGCGTCGCGGCGAGAGCTCGCGACGCTACAGGCTGATCTCGATGAGGTGCGGAACCAGGCCGAGGCGGCAGAGCAGGCCGAGGCGAGCTCGCGGCGGTCACTGGCCAAGGCCAAGGCCTCGCTGGCCAAGATGGAGGCCATGGAGCAACGCCTGGCAACGTGCAACGAGGTCATTCACTCGCTCGAGCGCGAGGCTGATCAGCACAAGGCCACGACCCAGGCACAGCTGGAGGCTTCAGAGTCGCAGATGATCTCACTCGAGCGTTCGCTCAACACCCAGATTGACTCACTCGCTGCCGCGCTCTCCGAAGCCAAGGATGAGAACGTCCAGCTCGACTCGCAGGTCCGCAAGCTCACGCTGCAGCTCGCTGAGACAGAGACCCAACTTGAACTGTCGGGCATGGCTCCGACGGCATCGGGCGCCAAGGCCTCGTCTGCCGTCCAGGCCGAGCTCCTTCATCTCAAGGCCGACAACGCAGACAAGGAGTCGGAGCTTCTTCTCCTCCACACTGCCCTGGAGCAGGCGACCGAGCACATCGAGGAGCTGACCTGCAAGGTGCAGCAGCTCGAGGATGCGCAGGCGTAAGCAAAAGTGTCCCCACACATAAATGCACTTGTATTCTGTGCCGTGCCTCGCCCACTCGTCTTCAGCTTGGCTCAAACCATGCGGTTCGTTGCAGGTGCCTTTCTCGTTGCGGGCATGCTCCTGCTCGCGCTGGCGACACCGACCTCGGCCGCAGGCTCGAACATAGTGTCCACAACATACGGCAAGGTCGAGGGCTACACCGCCAAGGTACGTGTCTTTCTCGAGACGGCTCACTCCGCGAGCACGTGCCCTGTCCTTGCCGGCATGGGTGGGCGAGTGGTGGAGGCTGCGAGGCATTAGTCGGGCAACACGAGTTCTATTTTTTCTGCGACCTTTTTGGTATATTTCCGCCCCCGCCGATGCTCTTGGCCTCCTTATCTGCATGATGTGGGTTGGATCTTACTTACTCTGCCGAGCGTGGGGTTGGTGGGGGACAGGGCGCGCGGGTTTGGCGTGGGATTCCGTTTGCAGCGCCGCCTGTGGGCAAGGATCGGTTTGCGCCGCCGCAGCAGCCACAAACCTGGTCGGGAGTTCGCGAGGCCAAGGTCGATGGGCCGATGTGTCCTCAGGCCGAGGCCCTGGGCAAGTTTGTGATCGGCTCCGAGGACTGCCTCAACCTCAATGTGTTTGCGCCAGAAGGTGCGGATGCGTCGTCGGGACTCCCGGTCATGTTCTGGATCTTTGGCGGCGGCTGGGTGGTCGGCTCGAACAACCAGCAGGGCCTGTACGATGGCAAGAATCTGGCGGCCAAGCACAACGTGGTGGTGGTGACGGTCAACTACCGACTCTCTGCTCTTGGCTTTCTCGCGCTTGATTCGCTGCGAAGCGAGAGCAACACCACCGGCAACTACGCGCTGCAGGACCAGCGGGCCGGTATGGTCTGGGTGCAGGAGAACATCCGGGCGTTTGGTGGCGATCCGGACAAGGTCATGATCTTTGGCGAGTCGGCCGGCGCGTTCTCGACCTGCTGGCACCTGGCGTCGCCAGCGTCCAAGGGCCTCTTCCGCGCCGCGCTCGTCATTTCCGGCACGTGCGACTCGCCGATCTTCTTCCGGTCGTGGGAGCGGTCGGTGGCGTGGTCGGTCGAGTACGCCAACAGGCTCGGCTGCTCCGGCCCGGACTCGCCGGCGCTGGTCGACTGCCTGCGCTCGCTCTCCACTGCTCAGGTGCTGAGCGGGCGGGTGTTTGAAGACGCCGGCAGCGAGACGGGCGCCAGTGAGGACATCGACCCGCTCCTCTCGCCCATCATGCCGTGGGCCGCAGCCATCGATGGCACCGAGGCCGGCATGAAGGTCACGCCGCTAGATTCGATCAAGGCCGGGTCGCTCAACAAGGTGCCGACCATCATGGGGACGAACAACAACGAGGGCACGATCTTTGTGCCGATGCTCGCAGCCATTGCCAAAGTCGATCTTCCGCTCAACCACGATACGGCATCGGCGGTCCTGCAGCGGTTCTTCAACGCGTCGACGGTCGATGCCATTTGGGAGCTCTACCCTCTGGAGAACTACCACAACTCGTACGACGAGGCCGCCGCGTTTGTCCTCCGCGACTACTTTTTCGTCTGCGCTGAGCGGCGGGCTCTGCACGCCATGGCTGCACAGGCCATCGACGTCTGGTCGTACCGGTTCCTTTTCAATGACGGCAACCCTCTGTTCCCCATCTTTGGCTCGACTCACGCCTCGGGCCTCCGGCTCATCTTTGACAACACCTTCTACCAGCCGTGGACAAAGCGCGACACGCTGATGGCAAACCAGCTTGGTGGCTACTACTCGGCGCTCGCCCGCGGCCTCGATCCCAACTCGGGCCCGGGTGACCTCCTCCACTGGCCACGCTACAACATCTCTGCCGAGCTGAACATGTTCCTCGACGTCCCGTCGTCGGTCGAGGCTCAGTACGATCAGTCAGTCTGTCCGTTCTGGGACAAGGTGACTGTCGACTTTAGGTGACACACCCATGTAGTGGCGATATCGGATGATACGGAGATGAATGAATGGAGAAGGGGACAAGGGGAGTCAGAGATTGGATTGGATGGGTTACAACGGGCGGGCGGGGCGGGGAGGCGGACGGGCGGGCTGCGGTCACTCGGCGGCCACTGCCCGCTACACATCTACATCTCTCTCTCTCTCCTTCTCTCACACTCTCTGCGTGTGTCATGGCCAACCACCCCGATGAGCGAGTGGAGCATGCCCTCTCACTGCAGCGGGCTCTCCTGACCCGACTTGCACCCAAGAGCGGAGTCCGTGTCGTCCCGCGTGGCCTCCCTCTCGCCATAGACATGGAGCTTGACGGCGCACTGGGCGCTGCTCTTGCCCACGGCTGGAGCGTGTGGACACAGGGCCGTACCTCGTGCACAGCCTGCCAGCTCAAGCAGAGGTATGTCCAGACACAACCGCACTCCCTGTCCGTGATCCCCCTGCCTTGGCCATCCCCCCCTC